ATATTTATATTTTTCAATCTCAATCTTTAGACTTTGCCTATATATAAAAAAAAAAGATATTTACGAACGAGAAATCTTTGTCTCGAAATCACTTTTAAAATAAGAAATTATCGAAATTGTTGGGAATGAAAAAAGAAATCCCCAGAATTACATAATTATTATTCAAAAATTGCAAAACCAAACAATGTATTATATAATTTTGTAAAGTAAATTAAATTATGAATTATTTTCAACTAATCTATTTAAATTACGAATAAAATATTTAAAATGAAATTATATTAATACTTTCATATTAAAAATTGAATTGAATTCTTATTTAGATATTTGGAAGTTAATTAAATTACTTACTAAATACCAGGAATTAATTATCAGAGAATAAATATTAGACAATATTTACATAACTTTTCAAATCACAAGTATTTACTTAAGTTCTTATTGAAATATTAGTGGTCGTAGTCGTCGTTATCGTCGTCGTCGGAGCAGGAGCAGCAGTAGTAGCAGCACCAAAGTAACCGCAGCCGCAGCCGTAGCCTAGCTGTAGTCGTCATCGTAGTCGTCGTAGAAGCTGCTGCTGCAGCAGGAGGAGGAGCAACAGTTTCCGTCGTTGCTGCTGCTGCTGTTGTTGTGGCTGCTGTTGTTGTCGTCGTATCTCTAGTAGAGAAGCCGTCATCGCGGTAGCATGAAGATTGACAACTGAGGTGCCAGGGCCACTGTTTAGGGAGGGATCGTCAAGGGCTCTTCGCGTGACTCGCCGTTTTTCCGGGTGCTCAGGTGCTTGACTTCAGGTTCTGACAGGGGACAGGGGAAAAGAGTGTGGGAGAGAGGGAGACAAAGAGATAGAGAGAGAGGTAGTGAAAGATAAACCAGAATCACATGCTGCGCGTTTCCGACAGCCACGGTCCAAACTCGGGTCACTCTAGTCTAGCCTAAGGGCTTTCACAGTATGCAAGGTTCAGAAGCACTGCGGAAGAGCACGCATTAACAAATAACCAGTGTCCTCGCGGCTTTCAGGTGATTGTCCCGGCAGCGCGGGCGCCTTGATCTTGTGCACCTCCTCTTCGTGGGCCGACGCCGTGCCGCTGTTCATACCTTGCTGGGTCTGCTTTGAGAAGGGTTATAGGGTTTAGGGGCTAGGGGTTATAGGGCTTAGGGCTTAAGGCCTTAGGCTTGTTGCTTTTGGCTCAGGGTAAGTTCAGGGTTTAGGGAAGCCGTACTTGTCAAGGCTCTGGCGATTTAGTAAGTAAATCCTACTTGGGGTTGGAAGCTAGGTTACACATCCCACAGCTGTTAGCTGACAGGCTGTATCCTAGAATGAGTAGGGTAGCAAAGCCGGTGATGATTGCGAAGCCTGGGTCTTCAGGAACTGGAACGGCGATGTGACAGGTTTACTGCCTTTTGTTGCTGGACGCGGGAAGGCCGCAGAATGATTTCTAGACGTGCTGAAATCAGAAGCTTCCACTCTCGGGCCCACCGCCTGGCCTGAAACTCTAGCCTGAATGCTGCTGAATGCTGTGCTGCGCCCTCCTCACCAGGCGTTGAAGGCCCGAACCCCGCGCGACTCTGCCAAACACACAAACTGAAAAAGAGGGCCGGTTGCATGTAGACTGCGGTGGAGTTCTGTGTTCCTTGGGGGTCTCAGACATGTAGCCGAGCCCCTCACCCTAGGCCGAACCCTTGAACAAATCCTTGATCCCGGCACGACATGCTGAACTACAACCCCAAACCGTCGTCTCCTGTAAGGACCCATACAGCACCCGACACAGTCACTCAACCCGAACCAAGAAAACACGAACACCACTAACACAAAGTCATGTACTGCAAACACTCAACCCTAAACCCCATATGAAACTCTCTACCAAAGCCCAAACACCCAAACCCTGAACCCCTACACCGAAACGGGCCACGGAACCCAGGCCCTGTCCGTCCAGGTGAAGTGGCATCTGGGGCGTGAGGGGCATGTTCCATGGATTAGGGTCGAGGGATCAAGGACTTCAGGCTGGGGTACATATTCTTGAAGGGTGGGGAGAGGGAGGTTGCAGAGCCTGAAAGCGATTTCAAGTTCATGGTCGACGGGCAGGCAACAAAGAGAAAGTGGACCCAATCAACGGTGGAACGTGTACAAGCAGACCCAGCCTTCCCGGCGGAAAGCACTTCTTTGTCCCAGAATTCCAGCGTGCTCAATCTAATCACGCAAGCAGGCTGACGAGGTGCAGCTCCGAGCTGCTTGCCCTTGCCTCCTCATCCTGACTCATGTCTCTCAGTAACTTCCGTGCGTTGTTGCAGATGGGGCTCGTGGATTCGAACCTCTCAAGGACCCTCATCAACATGGCCACGCCCTGGCGCTTGGCCAGCACAGCCTTATTCGCGGCATCGGAAAAGAGCGCAGCCAACGCGCGGCATCCCTCCAACTGCATGGCATCATCGTCATGCGCCAGCATGGCGTCTGCGACGGCCTCGCAGGCGCCCAGCGCAGAAGCCGCTGAGGCGGGAAAGGAAGGCCGCCCCCTGAACTTGGACATCCAAGTGCTGGGGGTACTTTGCCATGGCATCCAAGGCAAAGCTTGTGGCACAGAGAGATGACCCAGCCTGCTGCAGACGCGACAATGCAAGTCACCCTGCTGCACATGCCGCTGCTGTTTCCGAGTCATCTTCATAAAATTCCCTGACCCTCAATGCCTGCAGGGCATGCAAGGCTTGAGTAGCAGCGCCTGCGCCGTTCAGCCATTCGTGCCACTGGGGCTGCACAGCAAGGCCTCCAAGCGCTCCACAGCAGTTCTTGATAAGGCCGGAGCTGGGCAGGTCAATACTCATGGCCTCCAAGATCAGGTCGGCATCTCCACGCCTCACGTGCCTCCACTCATGCCTGTCAGTACACACCACACGGAAGACTGCCATAGCGGCAGTCTGCAAGCGCAAGCGTTTCTCTTTGTCCCGGAAAAGACCAGAAGGGATCTGACTTCTCTGCCCGATGAACGCGGGAAGAGTCTTGCAGATTGTGGCAGCACCTCCGCACGCGAAGAAATGGGACGTGCCATTGCCACGATTCAAAGCTACAAGAATCGCATGCCAGGCTCGAGACTGCAAATGGTGGTGGTTTGACTCCAGATTCTGGTCATTCTGGAACTCGTTATTCCTTTCCACTGCCCCCAACAGTGAGCGCATTGCTGCAAGTTCTTGGGCATCATTCCACTCAACCCGTTGCTGCTGCACAGTTCTGGTGAGCAGGGTATGGAGTGTGTTCAACGCCACCATTTGAAGAGCGTGTTCGGTGTGTCTCTCCATCAACACCTTGATGGCATCCACAACTCCAAGTGTAAGAAGAAACTGTTGCTGCGCGCCGGGCCTCCATAAAACTTCGATAGCTTGACATGCGCTCTTCTGCAGCTGCGCTGTGTCGGGGAATGCTTCCATGGACTTCATGACGAGCAGACAGCACTGTTGCGCAAGCTCCTTCGGAATGCAGAGCTTAGATAGTAATAGACAGCCTTGCTGCTGTATGTCGCTGCACCGCAGGAACTGCTTCATCGATTGCACTACAAAGGATGCGGCGCCTCGATCTGCCAGCTGCATGCTGAAGTTGTCGGAATCATCCGCAACCGCCTCAAAGGGATGAGCTGCTTCTCGCTCTATGAGCGCGTGCCACGACGAGAACCAGATTTTTTTCTTCTTTGGCCATCCTGCGACCAATGTTTGGCAAGGCCTTCGACCTGGATGACCTGCGCTTCGCCGTCAAGCTTCAAACGCTTGGCGGTGTTCGCCATGTTCTCCGGCGGGGGAGGGGGATCAACAGAGCGGGACTTGTGCGCTTTTAGGGGCTCCTGGCGATTCCAGTGTGGAGGTTCGGGGTTTGTGCTTCGCACTTCAGGATTTTCCAGGATCATCAAGATAGAAGTGATAAGAGGCTGAGCTTGTGTCTCCATCCAACAGCTCCACTGAACACCCAGACACCCTAAACATGCCTAGAATTCCGGCGTGGGCGTGTCTGATGGCTATCAGAGCTTTGCGGAGGGACTGAAGCCTGCTCTCATGAGCCTGTCTAAACCCTAAACCCCTAAGCCCTAAACCCTAAACCCCTAAACCCTAAACCGCACATTGCTTGGACAAAAACTGGCATAAGAATGATACGGACATGAAGTTGGACTCATATTCTAAAACCACACATTCACAAGGAACATCATGCCGCCATCACTATGATAATTGACTTTCGTGACTTCATGACTTCTCCTAGGTGTGCATCTCGCTGGTGTCGATGTCCTGTCATAATCAACAAACTGCTTAATGATCTGCGGGGCGTGAAATCTGACTAAGTCCAATTCCTACGAATGTTCTTCACCAGATTCGGATTGCACCTCTTCAAACGACCAAGTCGGAGGCTTCTGCGTCAAGAGAGACCTAAGCGTGCCATTGTGTTGGCGTCTTTAGCTTCACTAATCTTTGGGATATTGATTTTAAAAAACGCAAAGCCGCGGAAGGCGACTTACAGGAATCCTTGAGAAAATAGTTGGGAATAGTTGGGAGATATCATTCCGTCGAAAACTGTAGCAGTAGCAAGTCATATAATGCACCCTATTGGGATAAACATAAATTAGAACATGTGATAAGTCAGAGATCTATCCAAGTTCGACTGAGAACCCTGCGAAGGAGCGAGGCTGTAGGTGCTTCTCCAAACACATCCTCTCCGGTCCTGTGTCAGATGGATCAGTAATTGTTGAACCTTTTTTTGTATTACGTGTTTGGAATTAATTACAATACGATATTCTCATCCGAATCCGTTTGAGCCCAACTTGTCAGAAGGGCATCAGGCCACAATGGACACCCCCATACTACTCCTGAAAAATGTTTGGGACCCTTCCTATGATTTTCCATCCCATTCTGTGGGTTTTTGGTCCTCGGGTGTCTCACCCGCTCGCCCAACTCCAAGACTGTGCCCGAGCAATCTGCACCAGGAGGACCAGGATCACCAGGATACAAAGCCATCACCTGGCCAGGAGATGCCGGGAGCATCAATTGGCTATCCAGCTATGGCAGCTATGGTGGCTGCAGTTAGAGGAT